TATGGGCACAATCTGTAGCATCTGCGTGTGTTTCTTTTACTGTTCCACATGTGTTGCCACATTCGTTAAATGTTTTGTTTACAGGTCCACTGCTGTTACAAGCTTCCCTATTTTCTGTTTCACCATATTCACCTTCGAAGATAATCTCCTCCCTTCCATTATAGCATGGAACCTTATCCATGGAGGAATCATCCAGCTCCACCAAGTTTGCATCAACCATTCCACTTCCATCACTAGCTCTCTCATATTCCTCTTCACCATCCCAGGCATCTTCATCATCTCTCTCTTCAAACAAATTATCATCCAAATCAGAATAGCAGGGAAGCTCATTCATGGGGCAAATTTGGACCTTCATGTTCTTTGGCAAGCTTGGACAACCAGCAGAATGCACTTTGTATTTCGTTGAGAAATAGTTTACTGTGATGTTCAAGCTAATCATATAAAGAGAAACATTCAGTTTTTGATATATCAAACCTTGAGATGAAGTTATGTCTATTTACTTCCACATAGAATAAGTTGTACCTCTGCCAAGATGGGAGGTTAAGCATTGTGTAAGCAAGTTTAATCTTGTTGGCAACTCCCGAGAAGGATTTAAATGCGGCAGCTGCCTGCCTGACAGCCACCGACTCTGTTGGGTGCTGCCATGCCCATTCAAACTGCAGGTTTGCATCCAATTACACATTTCATATGTTAACACTAGAATATGTATTGCAACTAATGACAAAGTGGCAAGCACTAAACCCTGCCAAAGATCTTAAAACTCTGGTCTTACAGGTAAAGTGAAGACTAGTTTTGACAGGCTATAAAAACGTAAGCACAAGATTATACAACAGCTCCAAAGACATTTTTTTATTTTTTATTTTTCATGGAGTCATTTCAAAAGCGCAGTTTTGAAAATGTATAATCAAAATAATTTCTCCAAGATTCAAAAAACCTTGGCTATGATTCCAAATGCCTGCCAAGTACAACTTGGTTGAAGAAAGCAATCACAAATGAGCCAGATCTTTAATTCTTCTGGGCATACATTATCAATGCAACCAACTAGTTGACTGCACAAAATGTATAAGACATGCTGCTAGATATTGTTTATAATCCCTTGCAAGGTGAAAAGAATAAAACAAAAACAGGAAGCCGAAATCATAAGGAACCTCTGAACAAGAGCAGGCGAATGCAAATTGCCCAAAATCCAAAGCATGATAGCTAAGACCAATCTTTATTTCAGTTATAGACTAGTAAACAAACCGTCAAAGGCCATGTTTTGAAGTTTGGCTGAAGGTAATCTACTCTTTTGTAGACTCTTGTATCGACATAAATAAATGATAAAACTGCTTCAACATGCTATAAGAATCTAAAGCCAAGAGTAAGTAAACAGTTAAAAAGAACAAAAAGAAATAACCTGCAAAGCAGCAACATTAGTTGGGAAACCATAAACGCAGATAACCATTTCCCATGGCCTTCTTTTCTTAGTCCTGCATGCTCCACTTCTAAGCTCGCCATTATGTTGCCTAATTCTCCGCCGCGGATTCACTGTAAATCTGCAACAATCCAGCCCTTCCACGCTTCAAAATAAAAACCAAAAAGAGAAAAGCCTGTCCTAGCTTGGCTAAAGATCAAATCCTTTTTATTATCACAAATTAAGGAATCTAGAAGCAACAAGCTTTCCCATTAAAAATTGGTTTCAAGTAATTGGTCGATACAAAAATCTGAAACAAAGATCATATGGCCCCACAAAACAATTGATCACCAATCAATCAAACCCTTAATAGATTATCAAATTTTTTTTCCTTACATTGAATACTCTAAAAAGCAATCAACTTTGCCACTGAAATTGGGTTTCAAGTGCTGGGGCAAAAGATAAAAAGAGGTATCAAGATTGAATACACCCAGAAAGGAGATGATCTAAACATTTATAAATCAATCAAAGACTAACCCTTTATTGATTGATCAACAAAAATACATAAAAACCTAAGAATACACCAAAATATTAAGATTCAGAAGGCATAAAAAAATGAAAGAAGGAACCAAACCCGATATAGGTATGGCCTTTGAATCTGGGGCAAAGAGAAGTCAAGAGATAGCAAGCGAAGAACCCATTTTTCCCCTTCTCTGCTGCTTCTCCTTCTTCTACTATTTCTTGAGGGGGATTTTTTTGGGGTTTTCTCTTTCTTGTCATTTTTGGGTGTGAAGGATAAGGATCTGTGCTTCTTCCTCCTCTCAGTATCTCTGAGGAGCGGAGTTCGATGCAATTCGACCGTTGGTGTAGGGGTTTTATACATATTTCAGATTTTGAATACTTCTGTATTTTTTTAATGAGAAGTCTAACGTGAATAACATTAAAAATCTACTAATTACTTTTTATGAATAAAAAATAAAATTATTATTAAATGAATTGTTTAGATTATTACTTATTATTTTTAATTTTTTTTCTTTTTAAAAAATTAATTATTGATTGTTCCTAGAAAATTATCTTGTATATTATACGTGTTTTTTTCTCTTGATGATATAGGATATTCTCAAACTACATGCATATTAATTAAAATTAAGTTCATCTGTTAAAAAAAATTAAAATTATATTTTTCAGATCGACTTGATATATTTAGAAAAAAATTAGTAAATTTTACTAGATATTACATTAAGGTTTGGATCTAAAATATTAAGGAATAGAATATACTCTCTTAAACACAACTTTAAAATTATTATACTTATTTAATTTATTTATTGATTTAATAAATGAATACAATATGATTCATATAGTAATTTACTGTTGATTATTATTGTAAAAATTATGTCTCGCTGCATATACTAGAATAATTGGCTTGGAATTAAAAAAAAAAATTCCGTCAAGTTAATTTTAAAAAGAAAGGTTTTAGGGCAACTCTTGATTTTTGTCTGGAAAAGAAAAAAAAAATGGTAACTCTTATTACATAAGATATGTAATACATCGTATCATCCAAATTCAAATTCTTTCATAAAAAGAACATCTTTTCTGTAGATATATCAATTTGAATTTAAATATAAATAGTTATCTCTTTTATTACTATCTTGAAATATAAAAAATAAAAATAATTATGATATGTTCTTTCTATATTTCCTGTTATAGGGGACAAAAATTCACTCTAAAAATTTTTTATATATAAATTTCATTGTATTTGTCTCTTTAATCAAATATATTTGTTTTTTTATATATTTCTTCTATTTTGAGATATTAATCAAACACAATATTAAAATAAAAAATCATTAACTAAGAATCACATTTTGATAGTAGAACTGTAAAATTTCTCTGCCATCCCAAATTATACCTGCGTCAACTTGGAATATCACTTGTGATTTATTAAAAGATTGGCAAGATAGTAATACTAAAATAGCTATATTATGAGTCGAGAGATCGACAGCACCCCTACTGTTAGTCTGTGAGGAGCCAGCAAGACACATTCCCCACTTCCTGAAGTAGGGCAGCAGGTTGGGACTAAAATCTGCTTACCCTTGGCAGGCTGATCTCATATCCTCTGTTTTGTAGTTAGGATGATAATGAAAATCATAATTGAGCATTTCATTCACAGGAAGGGGAAAAAAAAGAACAGTAATACTTTCTGGCAAACTCGAGCCGACAACTAACACACATCATAACAAAATCAGAAACACAAATCATAACAAATCCAGTATTGTGAACCGAATGCGATTGCAAAGAAAGCTAGTGTTGTGGCAGAAAAGTTGCTAATTGTAGACAGCAACCTGACTGCAGATTTATGGTAACACTCTGATGTAGTTAAAGTTTGATTATATATAACTGGCTAGATGAAAAGTTCATGCAAGCCCCAATACCTCAAACTGATAGCTAGTTCATTCATTTCTACCAAACCAAATAAAGCAAAACATGGATGCGTGCAGCCAAATTTTCAACCATCATGTATTGTTATCCAGTGTCGATGGAGAAAGCAGAGTCTAAGAATGCAATTCATGATAGGGTAATAATCAAAGAAACCACCTTTTTGTACTCAGAGTGGCCACCAAATTTACCAAGGAACCAGGATCTGTGCAGCACTAATCTAAACTTTCCATAAATCACCGAAGCAGAGAACACGGATCCCTTTTGTCTACTAAAAATCACAATCTCAAGAGTTTAACATCAGGTTTATTAATTGCCAAACATCCATTTCGGCAAATTACATCTAGCAGCAGAAAAATACCAACTCATGAATGAGAAAAACTGGAACAACAATGGCCTGAATATACCTAACATTACACAGTCCAATTGAGTATTTCTATATGCACAAAAAGGCATACAAACATCACTATCACCACATTAAAGAGGCTACTTTAAACCAATCCGTATCTCCAGAAAACTAAGAGTAACTTACCATTTGAATACGTAGCTTCTCAGATGTTGTCAGCAATTGTATAAATTTAGCATAAAACACACATAATTAACGTGGAAAATGGCATATGGCATATAACACACATGCTAGAACACCTAAAATATAAATAATGTTTAAGGATACACTAGCTGTTTAGGTCTGAAAACGTACACCCTTAGCAGATTAACATCCATTCTACAAAATTATTATCATCACATTCAGTCTAAAGGAGTCAGAAGTTGACAGTCTACACTAGCTGTTTAGGTCTGAAAATGTACACCCTTAGCAGATTATCATCCATTCTACAAAATTATTATCATCACCATCCTCCCACAGCAAAAACATCTCCATTTCACCAATCCAGATAACACCTAGCATACATTTCCTAATTATCACCAACATGATGATCTCTAACTCTTAAACAAGCTTACACACTTTAAGTTCTTGAATAATCAAGATCCCAGACACAATTGAATAGCAACACAAACATCACTATCCATTCTCCTAAAAAGTTTTCACACTATCACTAACCCATTTTAAACCAAATACTCCCCTATAAATCACAACAAAAGAAATATTTATAGAAGGGCAGAATCTCAACAAAATTACAGCATAAAACAAAATACTAAAGAGCAACGCGATATCTAAAAGCCAAAAAGTTTGACCTTTCAATCTTACCAAATGCTAGTCCTAGTAATTACAATTTCATCACCAATACAACAACAGCAACATTACTACAAATACAAGAACAGAATCTCACCACCGCTACAACATAAATGAAACCACTAAAGATCAACACAACATCTAAAAGCCACAAAGTTCTGATCTTTCATTCTTATTAAATGCTAATAGTACAAAGTACTGATCTTTCATTCTTACTAAATGCTAATATTACTTTACAAGTTACAATTCCACAACCAATACAACAACAACGATTTCCAAATGGGGTCTATTTTTTCCAATTGGATTGCAGTAACACACAACCATTAGTAGAAAAATGAAAACCTGAACACAATTGTAAATTCCATTACCTACAGAAACAAAAACTCCAAAAAGCAATCAACTTTCACGTTTTGAGGAAAAACCCAATTGCCTCCACAAGTATTTCCCATTTGCCATATCTACCAATGTCCAAAACCCCATTTCCACCCCTGACTTTACCTGCAAATTTTCAACGAGAAGATCAAAACTTTACCCAAAATAAGAAAAAACCAGAAATAGAGACAGAACAAGGGTAACTATTGCACACCTTTGAGAACCGAGAAGAAGAAGAAGAAGAAGAAGAATCAGAGTGATGAGGAGAATTCTTGTTGCTGTCGGTGGTGGTGGTGGAATTGTCATCATCTCCAGTGTCGGTGCTGGCGGAGAAAGGGCGGGACTTGAGGTTTTTTATAACAAAAAAACCGGCAAGAGTGGCGGAGAGGAATACCAGAATCAGCCTCAATGGGCACATTGTTAGTATTACGCGTCAAATCTGAGAAATCTAAGAGACAAATAATCTTTTGTTGTTTGTATTATTATTAAGAAGAAGAAGAAGAAGAAGGTTGTTCGGTTTAAGTTTTGTCAAAAACAGAAAATGGTTTAGAGAAAGGAAAAGGAATAAGAAACTTGGTGTCCTTGGAAGAATCAATGGGCATGGTGGGCTCTAATACGGGGGGCTGCTGCTCGTGATTTTCTTCTAATAAATAATTGGATTAGATAGAATAATCAATGGTGATATATTGATGAATTTGTAATCAATTTTGTATAGGATTAGCTTATGGGGTTACATTGTAAATTTAGTATTTAAACCCATTCCGGACTAGGATGGAGATGACAAGTTACCTAGGTGAACTCCAATCAATTAAAATAATTATGTTTTAATTTTTTAAATTAAACTAATAAAAATAAATTAAATCAAGTTTTAATAAGATTATATATTGACCTATCAAATCGATTAAGTAAAACTGAATGAATTCTAAATAGTTTTTTTATATACTCAATCTAGATTAAAAGACAAATAAATTGGGTTTCGGGTCAAAGTCGGACCAAACTGTAATTAATAAATATAATTGCTATTGTATTACTTATTTTATTTATAGCAATATAAGAGGTTGTGATAGATAGCATTATTTTGAATCTAGAAAGAAAGTAATTCAATTTCAATATTGAAAATATAATTGTAGATGGTGTTATATATTAAAAATGATCAACGAGTTACAAAATCTGAATAAACAAAATATACCAAACTTAATTACAAACTAAATTTGATAAAGTCCAGACCTAAAAATAAAAAATAAAAAAAGGTGTAAATTCTTTGAAACAATAAGTGAAATATAATAAATGGGTATCTATTAAAAATTATCTTGAATGAAATAGTACTAGTGAAATTAAGATGAGGGAAGGAATGTTGTTTAATTCAAGCTGACGGGTTGAAAGATGAGATGAGGCAATAATTCCTTGAGTGGCTGAGGCTCGTTGTTTTAGTATTCAACAAAGAGAATTCTTCAAACAAGTTTTAATGGTGTCAATTATTCGAGCATGGTGCAATGGTGCTTGGAGGGTTGGATCCCTTTTTTTTCTCCTGCCCTCTTTTTTTTTTT